TAAAAATGATTTCCGAGGTCATTTTTCACTCTAACTTTACCTCGTAGAAAAATGTTTCACTTATGGTTTTGTAGAGGAAGTCGAGCTCTAGCCGTTGGGATGTGATTCGAAAGTGAAGAAAAAAACTGAAAAGAAAAAAACTCATACATAGATATGTTGGTATGCTCAAAATAGGTAAAAAATAGAGCCAGCGGCCGATATTCGAGTTCGATGAACTCACGGCTCGAACGTTTTAAATCAATGTCTAATATACGATTCAATGCAGAATTGAATGGGCTACAGAGCAATATAAAATTCTTTTTGATTATTTGTTTCTCTCCTAGACATTAGACTGAAATACTGAAAAATGGAGAGAATTTCGTACCTTGAAAAATCACTAGTTTTGAACTTTTCGATTCTAAATTGAGATGATAGGAAAATATCATGCATATAGTTTTGTAGAGCAAGTCAAGCTCTATCGAATGGTATATGATTTAACTCGAACAGTGAAAGATTTCCGACCGAAAAACTCGTAAAAAAAGGAAAGTCAATTTTCCGCAATTTTTTTCGTATTTTTTAAGGGTATTTCAGGAGCGCCTGCTCTTGCAGACCACAGGTAAGTCTTTAGACCATAATATTTTGGATTCATCTGTGGTAGATAAAGGCTGAAATTTCTATAATGTCGAACTCAAAATTGGTTGACTCCCATGCTCTCGAAGTATTTGGTTTTCTCATGCAACGTCTCTTAACAACAAAGAGACAGATCTTCACAGTCTGGTCAAGTGGAAGAAATGAGATAGCAGACACAGACAGGCTACATCTGCAAAACGTCGGTCTGGTTGGACTCCTCTTGTGTATTGATGATTTGTACTGTGGTGTGAAGAATGGAAGCGGTTGTTTTAGTATAATTAGTACTGTCTCAGCGGTTTAAAGCTGTTTTTTTTCAAGGTGTGAGCGCGATGAAGATGCTTACCCACAATTGTCCCCTCAAATTTTCCAATTTTTCATTTCAATTACTAGTTATTTTAACTTCTTGATGAATTTTAGTGCAAGATTCGTACTGTTTGTATAAAATCACTTTCTCTATCGGTCTATGAAAAAATGACTAATTAAAGCTGTAAGTAACTAGAAAACTAAATTTTATTGATCGCATGTAAAAGGGGGTGTGAATTTGCAATTACTCTGCATTATAAATCTGCTTACTGCAATAACTTCACGTGAGATAATTGCAGAAAATTTGCAGGAGCTACTAGGAAAAACAGTGAACAAATGACTATGAGCTGTCTGTTGTTGGTAATTTTTAGATAAAATTGTATAGTTAATATTCAGATTTGTCTACAAGGCAAAACAGACTAAAATTCCCAAATTTGACCGAGCGATGTTATGCACACGTTGAAATAATACTATTTTACCTGCAACTACTTTATGATCGTCTATATTTTTCAAGGCTTCATTCAGCGTTACTTATGTTCTTCATGACTTATTATTATACGGATTATTCACTGGGAAGCAAGTGATTTTATGGTATGGCTAAGCGGACTGTTCTGTTTTTGGTCGCTTCTGCATCACTATTTATTTTGATAAGCTTCGATATTCGTCCTATTCCATCTCTCCGTAGAAAGTCTGATTCAATATTGATCAAAAATGATCTTTCATCTCATTTCAAATTTTCATCCAAACCATTCAATATCGCTATAATTGGATCATTTGGATATATTGGTTCACGTTTATTGCATTATTTACAGCAAACAGAAAAGTGGAATATCACTGGCTATGATCGAGTCTTTTCGGGGCAAGCCAGTTATGAGATCCTAACTGAGGATCTTCATGAGTTTCAAGTTGTTATCTATTTAGGTGGTTTAACTGATCGTGCAAAATGTCAAAGTCATCCTAATGATGCCAAGCGGGAGAATGTTAAAGACATTTATAACTTGGCCAAACGGATGTTAGCATCTCAGCTGTTGATATTTGCTTCTACATCAGAGATTGCAGAGGGATATGGTATGGTTCCTATGGACGAGATGTCTCCTATTCAATCACATCTATTCGATTCTTATGTTGCCTCTATGATGCATCGTGAAAATACTCTTCGAGAACTGAGTTTCAAGTCCATTAATTCGCCTCGAATGATTGGTTTGCGCTTTGGTATTGTCATCGGTCTTTCTTATAGTCAACGAATTGATGTTGGGCACATGGCATACGTTTGTCAAGCATTTCTCGGTGGAAAGTTACACATCGTTCATCCACAAGCTTATCGCAGCTTTTTGAGCATGGACGATTTACTACAAGCCATAAAAGTTGTCATCAAGAATAAAAAGAGTGCTAAACGATTCGACTTGTTTCATCTTCAATCTTTCTCAGCTAGCGTCTCAAATGTGGTTAATGCTATTGCGCTTCGTTCAGGAGCTCATGTGGTTATATCAGATTATTCTTTGAATAATGTCAATCACGGATTTTCCTTGAATACTACAAAATTTCGTACCACCTACCAGTTTGTTTTCAATGGGAATCAAGATCAAATTGTATCTAGTTTGATTGATGATGTACCACGACTATGTGCTGGTAGACAATCTCGTTTAGATAAAGAGTCTGTTCCATGCGTGGTGTGCGGCTCGCGTGAAATGCATATAGTTTTAGACCTGCACAGCCAACCTCTTGCTAATGATTTTAGAAAACGATTAGATGAAGCGACAAAATGTAAACGATTCCCATTAAGATTAGTGCGATGTCCAAAATGTCACCACACACAACTATCGTATATTGTTAATCGAGCCTATCTTTTCAGTCATTATCTGTATCAGAGTGGTACAAGCAAAAGTATTGAAACCTATTTTGAATGGTTGGCTGAGAAAATTATTGATGAAAGTGGAAAAACAAATGGAACCGTTTTGGAAATAGCGAGCAATGATGGCAGCCAATTAAGTAAATTTAGCAGACGCGGATGGAAAACTGTAGGCGTAGATCCAGCCAAGAATCTTGCTGCACTAGCGCGAACAAAGGGCCATACTGTTTACGTTGGCTTTTGGGGTGCCGACAAATTTCCTCTTCTGCCATCTCCAGAATCTTTGGATGCTATAGTTGCACAAAACGTACTTGCTCATGTCGGCAATCCTGTACAGTTTTTGCGTGCATGCGCTGCTGTTATGGGTACAACAACGCGACTGTACGTTCAAACATCTCAGTGTGAAATGTACGAAACTGGACAATTTGATACAGTTTATCATGAACATGTGTCTTTCTTCACGGCTCATTCCTTTAAAAAGATTGCTAGCCTCGCCGGGCTACGTATCATACATTTTGAAATCACACCAATCCATGGACGTTCATGTTTGGTCACATTTGAACGGATCAGATTATCAAGTTCTACTTTTGTTCCTACTTTTTATAAAAAGCTTCCATCGTCACTTTCGCTGGCATTGCAGAAAGAACGTAATCTTGGATTAACTGATGCTTGGTTTTATATCAAATATCAAGCACAAGCTCATTCTATGCGTCAATGGATTGTTGATCAATTGACATATCTTCATGCTCAAGGTCATATCATCGTTGGATATGGTGCTGCAGCTAAAGGTATGGTCCTTCTGCGTTCCCTATTGGAAATGCCAAATCAAACATGGCAATTTTCCTATGTAGTTGATGATGCTCCTTTAAAACAAAATACATATTGTCCTGGTACTTCTATACCAGTGCGTCCGACGTCTGAATTGACCAAACATAGTTTAATTACACCGCTAACAATAGTTGTGTTTGCCTGGAATTTTTGGGAAGAAATTTTGAACAAAATCCAGACAAAAACGTTAGGAAAAGGAATCAAGAGTGTTTTTGCAATACGTCCATTTCCTCAACAACAACTAATACAAATCCATTCAAACTGTAGTACGGTAGTTACACAAAACGCGTATAGATTAATACCTTGGCCATTCCCGTTTTCTTCTATACGCAGACCTGTGCTACTTTTTTCAAACCTTATCAATGACGCAATATTTCTGTCTTCTTGGATTCGTCATCATGCTTCTATGTTTGATATAGCAATTTTAACTGACTATGATACTACCAACAAATCATCAGAAATTGTTCGAAACGAAGCTCCAAGCACTTGGAAAATAATAACGCCATATAACAAAGAATTTTCTCCTCAACTACTCGATAAAGAAATCGAATCTTACGCAAAAATGTATTCGAAAGCATGGAAGATTGTTCTCACCACTGATGAACTCCTAGTGCACCCTAACCTTCGAGAAATGCTGACTGAAATCGAATGCACAAGTAATGTGATGGCATTACATTTTCGTTCCTTAACAATGATAAGAAATAACTCAATACCGCTTGATCCTTCGAGGTCGCTACTGAATCAACAAACGCAATACATTTTAAACTCACCAATTCAGAAAAATGATAAATCTAATATACAAGATTATCGTGATATCCATCGGTTTTCGTATGTTAGACATATTAATGGGCAACAAAGTATTAAAGAGAGTGAGTGGCAATGGAGTTCCAATGGCTTTATTGCTGACTATCGATACCTATTCTCGCTTGAGCGAACAAAAGACAAACTTTCAATTTCTTCATCTAAAGTACATAACGATAGCAACGTGAATGAGCATATACTTCGTAATTCCAATGTAACACAGTTGACACAGAACAAAGAAAATATCAGACTCATAAAACTTGATAATCTTCAGAACATTGGTGCCTCATCCCATGAGTTAAGAATGGCACATCGTGTGTGGCGAGAGATGACAAGTAATTGAGTCATGAGATCACATTCGATCATTTGGGTTAGGATGGGTTTGCTGATGAAAGTATTAGATTATTAAAAAAACCTCATCAAAAATCTGTTGAATGGTTTAAATAAAGGTTCGAAACACATATATTACCTAGAATTACCATATTTCATATCTTGAATTCTGTAGACTCGAGCACTGAGTTACTGTCTGAAAGATTTTTCTCACCACTTCGTGAGGGTGGGGTGTAGTTTTGCGTCTGGGTGAGATGTGGGTATTGAAGCTGCCGGCAGGCCCCTTTTTTCTGGTCTGGCCCTGGTCCAGTTCGCGTTGCTTGCAGGCCAGGCTAAAATTTCCGAAGCAGCCTGCAGGACAAACTCGACCGCTTGATACTTATGGCTTTGCAAATACCTATAATTCTACAACTGTGCATTCAAATATCGTTCTAGGTTCAGTTGTAGGTGTGTCAATTTATATTTATTTTCAATTTAATTTATGCAGAAATTACATGATCAGAAATATTAATTTCACACTAATTGAAATTATCTTCTCTCATATTTTCAATTTAAACAAATACAAATTATCAGAAGTTAATTTTTTTAAATTCAAATTATAGATCAATTGATAAATCATAGATTTGAATTATTCGCACTGCGTAATCCACTAAAATTGAAAATTAAACAAAGTTGTTCTAGTTTTTTTTAACCCTTTGAGGCCCAGTGGGATATATATTTCCCATCTTGAGAATTTTGAAATCTTCGAGTTTTCGAGAATCTTGGAGAAATATTTTCAATATATGTTAGAAGCTAGCAGAGGTCCGTACAAGATTGATTGGATAATAGAGTGTATAGATGACATTG